ACTTGGGAGGCAGAGGCAGAAGCAGGTGAATTTCTAGGGCTTTGAGGCCAGCTTGGTCTATATAGTTCTAGGCAGTGAGGGCTACATATTGACTTTGTCTCAAAAAAAAAAAAAAGTTTTGTATACAAAAAAGGAGATAGTATTATTTGCTTATTTTCATTTTTTACTTAAGAAATGAAATGCAAATCTTTATTATAAAATATAAAGATAACAAGGACTGGATAAGAGACTGGAGAGAATACTGGCTGCTCTTGCAGAGGACTAGGGTTTGGTTCTCAGCCATCACATGACAGCTCATAACAGCCTGTAACCAAAGTTCCAGGAGGATCCAATGCCCTCTTCTGGCCTCTGTGGGCATGGGGCATGCACATGATACACATACATACATGTTGGCAAAACACACATACACATAAAATTTAAAAAATCTTTTAAGAAAGACTACTTGTTAATAATATATAGATACATTCCATTGTTTTTAATGTTAGTGTTGCCTGTAGCTTATGTGATTTCCCCTTTATTTATTTTATTGTTTTATTTTATGTGTACGAATGTATATGCACCCATGTCATACAATGCCTGTGGAGGTCAGAAGAGGGCGTTGGATCCCCTGGAAATGAAGTTACAAACAGTTGTTAGCTCCCATGTGGGTTCAGGGAACGGAAACTGTGTCCTCTGCAAGAGCTCTTAACTGCTTAACCATCTCTCCAGTTCCTAGTGCCCTCTTTCTAAAGTGCAAATTATGTTAAGTCACAAGACTGAAATAAGTCATCTATTACTACTTTTAAATTCATTTTGCTGGTTTTTTCTTCAGGATGTTCTTGATGTGGATTAATTCATACACATTTTTGAGTCTGTGTAGCACCTGACATATCAGAGAAGGAAACTGTGTCTTTACCCATTCATTGGAAGGGATGATGGAACAGGATGCTCAGTGTTTTCCTGTATAAATGATGTTAAGCCAAGCATTTTTGCTTGATTATTTCTTGCAATATTTTTCTAGAAGTTGAATAACTAGCCCCAAACTGGTACACATTTTCAAGGCATTTGCTAAACATTGCTAAGCTGCCCTCTTGAACAGCACCAACACCTTGTATATGCCATTACACTCTTTACTTTATAAAGGTGATAAGTTGAAATATGGCATCTAATCTTAACTCGTAGTTCTTTAATTACTAAAGAGGTTGAATATCTATCTACAGCTATTTGTTTGTCTGTCTTTTCTCCTCATTAGGGAATTGTTAGTATGTGCTCTTTCTGTGAAATTCTTAGGGGAGTATGATGTAGTGCAAGCCATGGGAAAATCAATTGGCTTGGTTTATTTTTATAAGAATATTAAGTTTCTTGGAGGTCAAGGCCTTGTCAGTGATGAACTGGTTTCCTGCAATCACTATTGAGTGTGTTAAAGATTGGGCTGTGACTTGTAGAGAAAGACTTCATTTGACATTTTATAGGTAATTAGAAGAAAGGGTACTATGGGCTTAAAATGATCAGCTATTGGGACTGGAGCACAGGGCTATGTGCAAAGATGTAAAGCTGGACATTTTCTTGTATAATATAGTGGTGGCTGGGAAACATTTACTTTATTGATCAGGGTTTCAAAAACTTCTACTCAGAGCTTAAAAATGATAAACTTTTCAGTGTTTTAGAATCCATTCTTTAGGGGCTGGGGAGATGGCTTATGCTGTATGAAACATGAGGACCTGAGTTCAGAGACCCAGCAACCACATAAAAGCCAGGCGTGGCTGCACTTATCTGTAACCCCAGGGCTGAAGTTGGCAGAGACAGGCAGATCAGTTTCTACCCAGACATCCTGACCAAAAAAAGCAGTCATCTCCAGGTTCAGTAAGAGACCCATTCAAGGGGATAAGGTGGAGAGTCACAGAGCAGGATACCTGATGGACTTTCCTCTGGACTTTGCATTCATGCACACTTGCACACAAACATGCACACACATACATATACCACACACAAAACAATCTTTTTTTAGTATTTTATTATTTTTTATTATTTTATGTTTATGAATATATTGCTTGCATGTATATAAGTGCACTCATGTAATGCCCAAGGAGGTCAGAAGAGGACTTCAGAGCCTCTGGAATTGGAGTTACAGACAGTTGTTAGCTGCCGTATGGATGCTTGATACCAACCCAGGTCCTCTGCTATAATTCTATGAATTTTAACAGATATGACACATTTAGATATGAACCAATTATATAGTTATCTTCCCCTAAAACTCCCTGTGCTGCCCCTTTAAATTCATACCCTCCGTAGTCTTAGTAAAGAAGTATGAATGAGCCATCTTTGGCTGCTCTTGCAGAGAACCCAGATTCAGTTCCTAGCACTCACATGCTGTGGTTCACGACCATCTATAACTCCAGTTTCAGGGGAACTGATACCCTCTTCTGGCCTCCACGGGTGGCACCAGGATGCACGTGAAGTACAAACATATATGCAAGCACTCGTACATATAAAATAGAAATAAATCTTTTTTAAAAATTTTATTTATTATTTTTATTTTATGTGTATCTATTGCCTGCATGTAGGTAAGTGCAGCTGTGTCATACAATGCTCGCAGAGGACAGAAGAGACTGTCAGATCCCCTGGAACTGGAGTTACGGACAGTTGTTAGCTGCCATATGGGTGCTGGGATTTGAACCTGGGTCTTCTGCAAGAATAGCCAGTGTTCTTAACCACCGAGCCATCTCTCCAGCCCCATAAATCTTTTTATAATAGAATGTATGAATGATCCACTTCCTCCTCATTCTCACCACCACTTGGTATTGTCAATATTTCTTACTTTAGCCATTGTACTAAGTGTCTCATGATGATTGAGTCTGAGTTTCTCTAGTGGCTAACAATGTTGAGCTTCTTCATTTGTTATCTGTATTTCCCATCTGCTGAACCATCTGTTCAGTCTTTTGCCCATTTTAAAATTGAAAATTGAAAATTAATTGATTGTGTGTCTGTATGTGTGGGTGCACATGCCAGAGTGTGTATAGAAGTGAGAAGACAATTTTGGGAGTCAGTTTTTTCTTTCTATCATATGAGTCCTGGGTCTTGTGACAAGTGCTTTGGCCCATAGACCATCTTGAAGGGCTGGAATGCTTTCTTACAGCTGGGTTTGGAGAATTCTTCATGTATTCTGGATACAAATCCTTTGCCAGATAAGTGATTTATAGTTATTTCCCACAAGACTTTCCAGCCTCTTTGCAGAGTCTTTCCTGGAGTAAAGTTTTGAATCAGAGGAAGCCTTGGGCTGGACCTTGACTGGGCTAGCTGATGACTAAACTCCCCACTTCCCTCTCATCTCCTCCCCATAGATTCAGCTTCTGCATTCAATCCTGAAGAGGCCTTCCTCATCTCACCTGCTCACCAAAGTCAGTTTTCACAGTGAATTATAGGATATAAATAAAATATGGGCTGTGGTTGAGTTTGCGAGGCATGCTTGAGATTCCTAGTTCAATCCCCAACAGATTAAATAAAATACTTGATTGACTTTGACAAATCAGTGCAACATGCAGCATGTTCATCTAGCAGTTTTATCCTCACACACTTCACAGTCATGTTACTCTGGGAAGGCAGGCTCTTCCTATTTATCTAACTCTGTACCACCTAGCTTCTCAGGGGAAGCTGGAGCATCTTCTCTGGAAGGGATCTTGGAGGTGGGGTGGTAAACAGGTGGTCCGTGGATCAGCAGCATCAGCATTACCTAAGAGCTTATAAGAATTTCAAAGTCTGGACCCTACCCCAGGTCAGAATTTGCATCTTAATGAGATCCCCAGGTGCGCATTAAAGTGTTTGAGGCACAGCTGTTAGGCTCATCTGGTTCTCACCCAGATTTTCCAAACAAAAGAAACTGAGGTCCAGAGAGAGCAAAGGCTGGCCTTCAGGCTTTCACAGCCGGTGAGGGAGCCAGGAAGAGATTCTGACCTTTTCACTTTACAGCTTGTGTTCAGGACCCTGTACCACGCCCCCGCCAGCATTTTGATGATGGTGACCTAACTTCATTACCTCATCCTGGCTTACATGAGAGCATCAGCACTTTTCTTTGTGAGAAATAGAATAATCTTTAGAAAAATCTTTATTTTATATTTAAGTGTGTGTGTGTGTGTGTGTGTGTGTGTGTGTGTGTGCAGGTACCTGTGGCGATCAGTCATTGGATTCCTTGGAGCTGGAGTGACAGAAATTGTGAGATGTGTGGTCTGGGTGCTGGGAGCTGAACCTGCGTCCTCTGGAAGAGCAGAACCCACTCTTAGCTGTCTCCAGTCCCCTGGAATAGTCTGGGTTTTTTCTTTTTTCTTTTTGGTGTTGTTTTGTCTGTTTTGGTCTTCCTCTTTTTTCTTGTCTCCCCTCAACACTTATTCCCAATATCCCCTAAAGATAGTCTGCTTTCAAAATGCAGACTTCCAAATTTTTGTAGTGAAATGAACTAAAAACTCTTGGGGAGGAAAGTGATTCTCCCTTGCGTTTGTTTACTTCCTGTAAGCTCCTGAGATGGCTAACACACTAGTTGTTAATCACACCATCTGTTCAGACAGCACTGTGGATTCATTTGATTCATCTTTTCTTTTTAAGGAAATTTTTTTCAGAACAATATGTTTGTGTCTGTGTTGCTCTCATCATCTGGCAATGCAGTGTGAGCTATTTAAACTTTCCTATTTATTGTAGATGGCTTTTCAATCAGCAAATATTTTTAAAAACGTTCATAAACCACCACATACACAAAAAATGTGTCTAGTGACTTTTCAAACATTGGAAAGCAGTAGAAAAAATTGTTCCAGGCTGTCTGCTGTCAAATTTTTAACCATCTGATTATATTTAAATGAAGTGTTTAGGAGGATGATTTATCTGACCGACCCTGAAAAAATTTTTCCACATTGACCCTGAAGATGGCAGTGCTGTGCAACTCAGAACAGTCCACTGCTGTACCCTCGCCCCTAGAAGGAATTTCTGGAATGGCAGAAAGAGGGGGAGGATTCACAAGATCTGAACCTTCTAACACTTAACACAAACCTCTTCTGAACTCTGGGACAATTTGGTTTATCTTTCGGTCTCTTTGTTTTTGTTTAAAGCTGTACCCCAAGCGTTTCCTGTTTCCAGAGGGGATCAGAAATGGAAATAGTTTAAAGGTTATTCTCATATCGTGGGTAACCAGGAAGCATCTATGTAGTTTACTGGGAAGCTGGTTTTCACAAGACTGCTTGTATTTTTTTTTTTTTTTTTTTTAAATCCTAACAAAGGCGGGACCCAAGATAAGCAGAAGCTAAGAATACTGGAAGTTTTGAATGCCTACTGGGACCACGTCTCTGGGAGCCTGCTTTTCCTCCTTTGCTCTCCTAACTCCAGAGGTCTGTAGCCTGACATTCTTTAAATTTCATTAGCAGGATCTGGAAGAGTAGGTTTAGAAGGGTACATGCGCAGGCCTCAGGCACTGTAAACCAAAGGGCCATTTCTTGGTCTTGCCTGGGAGCTGTTATTGTAAGGCCTGGGCATGGGGACTCAGGGGAAAAGGTATTGATATGCCCAACTTTACTTTTGGGATTGTCAAAATTGGTTACAATTTAACTAGCCCGAAGGCATTTATTGAAAATAATAATCTGAAGGATCTTATGTGAGGTGATGTTTATATCCTGTGAGCCAACCTCCCTGTCAAATGCTTTTGTAGCATCTCATTTAATCCTCATCTCAATGATATGAGGTAGATGTGATATCCATTTTCTGGTTTTTGGCTTTGCGTGGGAAACTGGGGGAACAGGAATCCGAGGATCAAGAGGTCATGAGACTTACCAAAAACTGTTGGGTTTAAACATTAAATCCAGAGCCTGCTTATTAAGTGTTTGTCCTGTATTTTGATTCATGGATGGAATAGCACAAATATTAAGCCCTCCAATTGAAACAAAACGTATTTGGTACCCATTTAATGATACCAGAGGAGAGAGAAAGGTTCTAGTACTTTCTTCCACTAAGAGGTACACAATTGTAAAGCCAGGCCACCAGTTACTTTAGAAGAAGGAGCTCCAGAGAGATGAGTATGATTAAAAGGACTTAGGTACCTTTATCTAGTGTGATATGTTTAAAGATGAAGACAACTTCTAAGGACTCATTTCATTAAAAATATATTTTTATTATTTTGCATATGAGTGTGTTGACTACACGTGTGTAAGTGCAGCCGTGTCAGATCCCCTGGAACTGGAGTTACAGACAATTGTTAGCCGCCGTGTGGGAATTGAACCTAAGTCCTCTGCAAGAGCAGTCAGTGCTCTTAACTGCTGAGCCATCTCTCCAGCCCTGTTATTGCATATTTTTAAAATAGAATGTTTGAGAAACAACAACAATGTACATTTATTCAACATCTTTTATTTTTTATTTTTCCTTCAAGTTTTTTCCTTGGGGTTTTGAAAGTCAAAAGCCAGGAAAAGACACCTTTATTTTCTATCTCCAAGGATCATAATCTCTCTCTCTCTCTCTCCTCTCTCTCTCTCTCTGCAGAACAGCTGAGTGGAAGGTGAAAAGAGATAAAAGTAGGAAGGATAATGTATTAGTCAGTATTTCAAAATTATTGCAACACAATGGAAGGCAGTATTCCTATTTCTCCCCCATGCCTTGGGCAGAGATCACATCATACAGAGATTAAGGAAGCTCTAATTAGAGGGTGCTGAAAATGATTGGAGAAGCCCCACCTACATCCTCTCAGTGGGAAAATGTCTCCTTTGTCACAGATCTAGGATCTAAGTAATTCAGATTTCTTCTTAGAAGTTTGTTTTGAATAAAGAGTAGATCAATTTGGGCATTTATTCCCCAGAATGAAAACTTCTTCCGGGGGGTGGGGGGGAAGACATCTTAGTTTCCCAGATGCTTTCTGGAAATATTCTTTTCTTTCTTTCCATCTAAATCTTGACTTCAGAATCCACTTTAAGTTCACATTATAGTTCCAAATATTCATGGATCATTCCAGCCAAATTTTTCAGAATTTGTTCATTTTCAGTTCAGAAACTTCTTTTATATTGCTGTTTTATTTTTCTCTTCCAAGTCAATAATGCACTGTCATTTTTTTGTCTTACATGACCTGAGAAACACTTCAGTTTGTGAGAAGACCACTTCTTTAGCACTCCATTGTTATGGGGATACTGAGGCAATTTATTTTACATTAAGATGGTGTTACATCATGGACATGTATTTGAGACCAGTCACATCCATACTAGGGACTGAGAAAAAGAAGTTTAAGCCTAGTGTCCTCACATGCATTAGACTAACCCTGATGCTTGAAAGAGGAATGGAGTGTTGTCTTGGCTATGATGTTAAAGGAGGTGTTGGGATGTCTAGGTTGTGTGTGTGTGGGGGGGGAAGACATTGTGGTCATGAGCTATATTAAAGACAGATTCTGTCATATGTCAGTCTTTTCTGAATATTGTCTTCAAATGATACTCGGAGATTCCCCAGGGGTTCCAATCAACGGTTATATTAAGGAGTCTCTAGGTCTTCTTGGTATTCTGGTCAGTAAGAAAGTAGAACACGGAAGAGTTCCCTTCCTCTGCACTTACTAGAGTAGGTACAGTATTTACTGTTTTCCTGTTAAGGCTTTGTGTAACTTCTATTTGAAACAAAAGTTTTCCTGCTGAAAGAATACGGGGATAGAGAGACACATGAACTTCCTTATAGTGTAGACTGTTTTGACTTCTATATTTTCGGTGGTTATTTCCTTTTATTATTATTTTTGAGTTTTGAAACACATGGTTGAACATATGGCAGAACACATCAAACCCAGTGGGTGGACTATGGGGGCTACAGATACGGAAGAGGGTCTAAATATGACTAAGATATATGAAATACAAAATTTCAATAAAAATATATTGAATAAAATATGGTTGAAAATATCTCTGCTGAGCTATTGGAAAAGTATGTCCACATGGAGATGACTCTTAGAGGTGTCTATAGGACGATAGAGGAAACTGGAGACACCCCCAACTGGTGAGAGGGGGGAGCCTTTAGATTATGCAGAGCCTTCTCCACACCCTGTCCCCATCCTGGTTTCTTATTCTAGCGCTAAAGAGAGTGCCATGAAGATGCTAGTTGGGCGTGTGTATATCTCTATATCTATTTATACATCGCTTTATATATCTCTTTCTATATATGTTTCTCGTCACCAAATATAAATACTTCTTGAATTAAATTAAATTTAAACTAAGAACCTTGTTACTTTTAAAGCTTAGTAGCTGAAAGGGGGTGGGTGGGTTAAGAACACAAAAGAAAAGACATTTACAAGAAAATACCAAGGACAGTGGTAAAAATTGACACCAACCCCTCCCACACCCTTTCCTCCCCATCACTTCACCCCACAGCTAGATGTGGCATTGGCTTGTTTTAAAAGGTGGTATTTTCAAGATTTTTAACACAAAATTTGATAGTGTCTCAAGAATCCACTGCAGCCCATCTGTAATGCCAAACTGGATCCCAGAATTCTGAGTTTTAGATTATTTTCAGGAATTCAATGGGATGGTGCAATTTCATTTCAGACTCTATTTCTCAGCTGCTCCAGAAAACGATCTTTGAGCTATAATTTATTATTTTTTTAATGCTTTGGGGGAAAATCTCTTCTTCCCACGAAATAAACAGAAAATGAAAAGGTATTTTGTGGCAGAAGCAACAGTAGTGATGGTGGCAGATAAGCCTCCGTCCCAGCTGCTGCCATGCTTCGTAAAACTCTCCCAAATGGGGTGAGCACATTTCGCAGAGTGATCAAGTCTCTGCTGCCACACCGCTTCTATTTATAATCCTGGCAGAGCTACAAATTTCAAGGGTTTTCAAAGATGGAGGAACTGTGCTACATGAAGTGATTTTAGCTCTCATCTTTTCAGAGTCTGAATTCAACGGAGTGGGATTTTCCAGCCTCTGAACACATTGATGTTTCTGCAGAACATGTCTCACATCCTGCTCACAGGGGATGCCTTGAAGACAGGCAACGAAGAGGCTCGGGAAGGCCTTTTGTCTAAGGAATCTTTCTGTTTATAAGGAGTTTGTAAGACAGATAATTTCCTATTTTTTTTTTTCCTACATTTATCTGATGATAATATCTTTAAATCACCTGAGGGTTTATCTCACAATCTCTCTCTGTCTTGTTTCAAATTATTCATTTCCAATACTGGCCTCTCTGTTAATTAAATGGTATGTCTATGGGGGCATTTCCACTTGAATGATAATTAATGTGTTTTTTCCCAGTCCAGCTGCCCATGAACTCTAGTAGATAAATTGTTTTGTGTGTAGCATATATTGGAGGCTAGCTTGGGTAATGATTTCCTGTTGAAATTAAAAAAAAACTCACAACTCCCCCCCAAAATAGTAACTGCATCATCCAAAGCACAAGTCTTCTTTATCTTTTTACAGTTTGATTATGTATGTGAAGAGACGAAGAAAAAAATTTCCTAATTGAAAAATAAGAGCACTGAAATACTGCAGTGCCCTGGTGGGAGCTGCTTTGCCCTTTTGGCTGATTTTTCATGATCTTTGATATTCTTGCTTGTGTCCTCTAGTGGTTTATAAAACATATAACTCCTGAGATATGTGTAAATTAAGATTAGGATCCTTAAAATATTTTTTTTTTGCTTCTAGATATATGATAAACATGACAAATTCACTCATTAATGCATAAAACCTTTGTAATTAGTATGTCACTACTATTTTTTTTTTTTTTTTTTTTTTTTTTTTGAGAGGCTCAAGTAGTTTAAGACTTGAGCTCTGGAACAAGATCTGCATTCAAATCCTGACCACCAGTTTGGCAGTTATGGGACCTTAGACGAGTTGAGAATCTAAAGGTGAGACTCCGCTCTACAGTGCAGGGAGGAAGAGAACATGTCTTGGGGTAATGCTCCCCTTTGGAATATCTTTCTTAAATAATCTTACTATTTCTGTTTCTGATTTAGATGATGCCTTCCTTCACTCTGAGCAAAAATGGTATAAAGATTATATATTGAGGGGGAAAAACCATTTGCCCTTCTGATACCTATTATGTAAAAATTTGTTTTTCTTTATTTACTTTTATTTTATGTGTATGAGTGTTATGCCTGCATGTATGTTAGTGCACCCGTGTCGTGCATTGCCAATGGAGGACAGAAGACGGCATTGGATCCCCTGAGACTGGAGTTACGGACAGTTGTTAACTGCCATGTGGATGCTGGGATTCAAACCTGGGTCTTTCTGCAAGAACAGTTAGTGCTCTTAACTGCTGAGTTGTCTCTCCAGCCCCTGACCTATTCTTGATTCATAATGATAAGATTAAATAACATGAAGTCAAAACTTGGTTATCCCACCAGCTGCTGTCAAGTGTGTTTACAGAGCTTTAATCTAGCTTGATGTTGATAATGGAATCTGAGTGGCAGAGTTTCCAAGCCAACACATTAGCATGTTTGCATAATAAGTATTCATCTGGAAGTTAACTTTCTGCTAAAAATTTTAGAGAGAAGCAAAGTTCTTTGGAAAGAGTTACCTTAGAGCTTTAGAAATGCTAGCCTATGGTCAGTTTTTCCATGTTTCCAAGTTTGCCTAAAGGAATTAGGAACTCACAGATGACATGGTTAATGTTTCTGAAATGCTTGTTCATTCTGAGCACTGCTTTACATCTTATTTTGCAGAATCCTCTTTGCAACTGTGCTTACCATTCTCCACATTTCCATTTCAAAGCTGGAGGAGCCAAGGGCCAGAGACATAGCTGCTAAGTAGCAAAGCTGAGATCAGACCCAGGAAATCCAACTTAAGCCCACTGGTCCACAAATTAAATCTCAACCACTATACTTGTTTCTATGATATCATATACCAAGATGCAGGAGTCAACAGGTATCTATGTAGTTCCATTAAGTCAATTCTAAGAATTAAAAAAAATTATCCTGTGAGATTCCCATAGATATTAACAACAATGCTGACACTTGGAATAAAATGTCAAATAGCAAACTTTGCAACTTTGAGTTGTGATAGTCTCTCACGATTACTAAGATCAGCTCTGTTGAAGAAGTAAGTTATCTAATTAAACAGGCAGAATTAGTTGTGAATGGAAGTCTCATCGATAGTATGCTCCATAGGAGCACCTGGAGAAACACCACAGTAAAACCACTGCAGATGCTGGGCGCCGCAATGACCTGATATTTGAAGCAGTGAATTTCAGGATCTGCCTAATAATTAAAAACAACTTATCTTCAGGTGGATCTAGTTCATTTTGTTCTTTCAACATGAAGTTCTAGGGGCATAGAAATGCCTATAGAGAATATCTATTGTGTAAACACAAATATCCAAAGTAACTGAGTGACTTTTTGAGATGTCATCAAATATGTGGTTATTAAAAACTAGCTGCTAAGTGGATAACACAACATCTGGCTGGAAAAGACTCGGAAATGACTGACAAGGTATCTCAGGGAAGACTTGCTATCACCTTGTAGTTCCTGACTACAAATGAAACAACTATGGATATATAGGTCTTTATCACATCCCAAAGAACAAATTAAGACAAATATGACAAAGTAGTTACTGCAAAGGCTAAAGGAGTCTGAAATAGTGTGTCATGCCAATAGGGCACAGGTTTGTTCTGTTGAATTTAGCAGTCATGAGCCAGGAGCAGGTAGCTGCTGAAATGTAGAGACTCCTCACCTAGAGGAACAAGAAATGTGAAATATCAGCAAGATTTTAAGACTCAGGAGAGAAGAAGAAAGTAAACTATCTCAATAATTGTTTATATTGATTATATATTTAGGTGATATTAATATATTGGCTAATAAAACATTATTAAAGTTATTTTATCTTTTTTACTGTGATTTACCATAAAATTTAAATAGCATATATAGTTCCTATGGTATATCTACTGGGCAGTGCCCTACTTGGCACCAGCAGCAGGTGAAAAAGAAGTCAGCTTTGTCCTTCGTGTCAGTCGTGAGAGGCCCTTTAGAAACCAGATGGGTTGTTTCGGTGGGCTGGTTATTTATAGCAACTTTGATTTATTTTTTATTTTATTACTTTTTGAAAATCTTTATTACATCCTTTTTTCCATGTGCTTTGGTTTTGTTCCCCCAACCCCAATCTTCAATGGAAGCTCCAACACTGATCATATTTTGATGCTTTTATAGTAAGTGTATGTAATGAGACACTGAGGGTTCTATTATTTACTATCATTTTCATGACATTCTCCTGCGGTATTTCTAATTATTTACTTAAAAATGAAAGAATATTGTTGGTGAGGAGATGAAATGGCTCTGTGGTTAAAACAGCTACTTCTCCTCCAGAAGACCCCAGTTTCGTGCCCAATGGGTGGCTCACAACCACCTGTGATTCTAGTTCTAGGGGCTCTGATGCTCTCTTCCTGCCTCTGCACCTTTACTTATGTGCATATACCCACACACATACCCACACACAGACACACAGACACCCACACACAGACACACAGACACATACCCACACAGACACAGAGACACATATCCACACACAGACACACAGACACATACCCACACACAGACACACAGACACATACCCACACACAGACACAGAGACACATATCCACACACAGACACACAGACGCATACCCACACACAGACACACAGACACATACCCACACACAGACACACAGACACATACCCACACACAGACACAGACACATACCCACACACAGACACAGAGACACATCCACACACAGACACACAGACACATACCCACACACAGACACACAGACACATAGTTAAAAATAAAATGAATCTTAAATTAGTGAAAGACTATATCTGTGGTCACCTGCATAGGACATGGTAAAAAAGCAATTTAAGTGGAGATTCTTACAGAAACAGAAATTACTTTTGTAATTGTTATCCATGTTAATCTTAACTTTGACAGACTATTTTTTACATGATAGGCATGACAAAAAAAATCATTGAACAAATGAGTAAGAAGGTAGAAATGTAATATCTACTGCATTTGTCCTTGAATTATATAAGTACTGGAAAACATTGGAGGAGTTGCTACCATTCAAATTTCAAAAAGGAGTGTCTTTTTGCATGCCTTTTCTAAGTTTCAAGCGTTCTTTTTGGCCTACTTAAAGCATTTTATCTATGGCTGCCATGGTGGTTTTCTGGGCATGATATCACCTAAGTTTGTGATATTGTCTCACTATAAAGTGCTTCTCAAGGATTTTACAGGTTACCTCAGTGTGGTGGGACTGGATGAAATATAAGGTGTCTTCAAACCCATAGATTCTGTCATTCTCCCTAGAATTTTGGTATTATTTATTCTCTTCACCCTAGGGATCCAGTAGAAGTAAATTATGGACAAATTATAAGAAGGCTATGGAGTGATTTCTAACCTAAACATCTCCACTGGAAATGGTACACTGCTGTGTGGCTAAATACAGCATACAGGGGTCACAGATGGAATCTTCTAAAGATTTCATTGTTTTAATCAGCCAAGCAACTTGCTTTGAGACCACTATATGCTTTATGATGGAAATTAGATTTTTTTTTTGAGACTGGGTCTCCTTGTAGACCCAGCTAGTCTGGAACTTGCTAGCTTTGTAGACCAGGGTGGCCTCGATCTTCGAGACATCCACCTGCCTCTGCCTCCTGAGCCTTGGGATTAAACGTGTGCATCACCATGCCCAGCATGAAGCTAGAGTCATACCTGTCTTAGGAAGTATGAATTGTTTAGGATGAGATGAGTATATGTACATGGAGAAATATTTCATTTCATCAAATATTTCATTTCTTCTTATCGTTAAGCATAGTGGTATATTCAACAGTATTAAAAGTAGAATTTTTTAGTTTTTAAATTGTTCTCCCCTAGACTTTGCATTTTAAAAAAATATTTTATTTATTATTTTTACTCTGTGTTTATGAGTATATTGCCTGCATGTATGTAAGTGTACCCCTGTCATGCAATACCTGAAGAGGTCAGAAAAGGGCATCACTTCTCCTGGAACTGGAGTAACAAAGGGTTGTTGGCTGCCATGTGAGTACCGGGAAATGAACCCAGGTCCTTTGCAAGAGAAACCAGTGCTCTTAACTGTTGAGCCATTTCTTCAGGCCCAGAGTTTACATTTTTTACTGAAGTTGCTTCAGCATTCCTCTGTGTGTATAAAGAGAAACAATGAAAGATGGGAATTAGGACTTTGAAGCAGATCTGCTGCCTTATCAACTTCCTTGAGATCTTTGACTCATTTTCTCTGTAACAAGAAGGATACTTTCTGTTTCATAAAGCTTTAAATGTTATTTGCAATAAAATACTTATTGTAGGGTTTTAGGAAGGCAATGTGTCAAGCACAGAGGATATATTACCCGTTTCTTAGTCTCTAAATATGTTTGAATTCCTGTGATAGAAATCAGTAAATAAGAAACAGGAACATGCACACCCACATTGTGAGTAATTTTAAAGTGGTGAAGACACTGAACAAAGAAAAGAAAAAGAACATCACTGTTACTGAACTACAGTGAACTCCATTAGCATCCATATTGCTCTCCCAGTTAATACAGGGATAAGATCTTGTACTATGTAGCATAGCTGTCATCTGTGTTTCCATTTATGAGAACATTCTAAAAATAACATTCTGAATTCCCCATAGCAAGGATACATGCCGCATCATTGATACAGATGACTGAACACACTAACCTTACCATATCTGTTCATTTATGGATGCATACATATGTATAAGTGAATATGGTGGTGGCACCTCTGAGACTTTTTGGTGTTGGAAATCAAAAGTGAGTTGTATATATGTGTATATTTGAGCATAACTAATAGAAATAAGGTGGATCAAAGTGAAAACTATTGAAACAGGAGCTTCCTGGAATGATTTTTGCTCTGAGATCCAGTAGACTCTTCTGAATTGATTGTGGCTTCTGAGAACAAGACACCAGAAAAAATTACAAGAATATCTTACCAGGAGCATTATAGTGACCAATGGAAACACTTGCTATATAGCCTACTTTTAGTCATGATTTTCAGAAAAGCTAGCTAGCTAGTCAAAAAAGGTGGTGGGAATTGTACTCTTTGTCAGTGGGAAAATAGGAAAATGAACAGGGTAACTTAGGTAAGAAACAGAGAACTCACTATGCACATATTGAGGTTTCTCATTTTGAGTCAAAAACTAAATACTGCGTTTCCTTTGGAAGTAATAACATTCCCCCCCCCCAACTTCATAATGGAGTATTCTCTCTTGTTTAAAAAAAATGAAGCAATGTTGTTTACATGTTTAATGTCTGAAAAAATAAAGACTGGCAGTTGCCAGATGATGGGACAATGGATAAAGAGCAGACCCAAAGATTGTCTTCCCTCCCCTGCCCTCCATCCTCCAAATTTTCCCCAGAGAAAATAGTGCAGATGTGAAACAGAGCTGGAAGGTGGAGTTCTGGAAAGCCATCTCCAGGCTCTCAGAACTGGATCCCAGGAGGGAGCTAGGTGGTCCCATTCTAGCCCTCTGGCTATATTTCTGGAAGTTATCCAGAAACTGCCAGGAGCAACCAATCTCTTCCTAAGCCATATGATTTCACTGGCAAAGATCCTGACCAAAAAAATGCATCTCGACCTGGGGTAGGGATGGAAACCAGTGCTGAACTGTCTGAGGCTTGTGAACACCTCTGCCTGACTACTATCCTTCCTGAGACTGTGTATGCTTGCAATCCTGGCTGCCTACCGGGCCAAGCCCACCTACATTGCCTCACTAAGAATACAGTTTCCTTACAGACCTGCTTGTTTATTCTTAAAGGAACCACTGTGTTGCATTTTCCCCTACAGGCTCATGTATTTGAACAACTGGTCCCCTGTTGGTGCTGTTTGGGGGAAGTTATGGAGCCTTTAGGAGGTGCAGCCTTGCT